GCCTGGAAGCCGGGAACGTAATGAATTGCCTTGACTCTCGCTTCAATCCACTTTCCTCGCTTAATATGCAGCCCAAAGTTTTGCGGCTTGCTGTCAGATGGTAGTGCTAGACTTTCACACTGATCCCAAAGCCTCCGCTGGGGCTGTTTCTTAACACGGAGTTGAAAACTTTAAGAAACAGACAGCTCCAGACGGAAATCCACGCCAGGCTTTGAACTCTGCTTCTGGCTTCCGTCAACTGACACAGTTGCCCTTTTGCTCAAACTCGCAGCTCCAGTTCGCACGCACTCCGGAGCGCTCGGCTGGGCGTCTGCCGCGGTGGCTCCGCGGGGAAGGTGCGGGGGCCACGGCCCGCGGGCGGAGGTGCGCCTCGGCCGCGAGCCCTCCGCCGGGCCCCAGAACTCAAAAACGTTATTCCCCAAAGGGAGCGAGGGGAGAGGGCTCGCGGAGGAGGCGAGTCCGATCTTTTGTTTGTGGAGTTTTGTGTTTCAGACATTTAGGGGGAGCACACAGCGAGAGAGAAAGGACGGCCCTTCCCGCAAACGCTTCCTTCCCTTGGCAAGGCCTCCAGGCCCCACTTCCACATTTTGCAGTTGACTCTGTGGGATTTTCATAGGTTTGTTCCTCGGTTCTCGAGCCCAATCCACGCACGCTGTGCAGCCGCAGAAAGCGAGAGCATATCCTCTGCCATTTTCAGCCGGTTGGTTCTGGCAGCCCTCCCCCCTCCCCCCCATCCTTGGCTGCCACAGCCGCTGAAGTTCCTGCGCCCCGAAACTCCGTCCGATCCGTAGGGCGGCAGATCCAGTCCGAGTTTGCCGAGTGCCGTCCGGCCGGGCTCTGCGATAAGAACTCTCCAGTGAGGGAGAACTAGCGAGACTTTAGTCCGGTTTCCATGTCAACGATTCAGTCCGTATTTGCCATCAGGCTGTTGGTGGCCCGGGCGCTTTCGCGAGGGGTGCGCTGTCCTAGTCCCACTTCTCTAATCTGCGCCGGGATTCCTGAGCTGCCTGGGTGTGGGGTTAAAAGGCAGGGGCCGTGGGGGAGAGAACTCCGGGGAGGGGAGGATCCACGGCCCCGAGCCCCGAGCCCGGCGCTCGGGCCAGCCACGTGCCCGGCCGCTCCCCTCCCCCCTTCCCGTTTCCACTGCCCCTGGGGAAAGCGGATGGGCCAGTTTCTAAGAAAGTTCCTCAGCTCACGAGTCCCTAGTTTAGTGGCTTGGGTTTCTAAAGATAGGACTGCAGGAGCCCCTAAATGATTTGAGATCTAGAGGGGGGGAAAGTGAGAAAGGAGAAAGCTCACGTTACCTCTTCTGACCCTGTGAATGTTTTTTCCTCCCCCCCCCTTTTTTGTGCACTTTACCTATTGCTTGATTAAAATGGTGTCTGTTTTGAAAACAGCGTGCCCACGTGTAGAAACAAGGATTTTTGGCGCTTTCCATATTTCGCAACCCTGGACAGAAAGGAATTAGGGCTTTCTTTGCAGACAAATCCATTCTGGCTTCCAGATTTTCACTGGGCTCCAGGTTTCCCATTACACTCCAGCTCTGAAGAAAATGGCAGGGTAATTGCATGTAAAAAATTCCTCATTTGTGTGCAGGACTCAGAACTGTTTGCCAGCTCCGAGGCAGTTGATTAAATAGCCAAGCTCCATTTATAAAGCAGCCTATAATTTGGTTTCTAGGACCTAATGCACCAGGAGAGTTGTTGCCCCTGAGGATGGAGCCTGAAAAGAGGGAACTGGCCCATACTAGTCAGTCCCATCCACTTTGTAAGCTGATTTGGTTCTTGGCTTAGGGCATAGAGAAGGGTTTTGTTTTTAAGCTCAGAACTCTAGGTTTTCAGGAAGATTTGCCTTTGTGATGTGAGATGGTCTCAATTTTCTTGAGGGTAGAAATAAATTCAGGCTTTTGGAATTATTTACAGTGACTGGTGACCTGGTCAGAACTCCAGGCGCCTGCCGAATCTAGAAATTCGAAGGTTATGGTCTGAGGCCATGAGTCTCCATTTTAAAGATCTGAGGGAAAGGGGTGCTGGTGCCTAGTGACGCTGGCCTGGTGAAAATCTGGAATCCTGATCTCCCAAACTGGTCGAGTTAGAGCACTCCCAGACTCCGGGACTTGGAGTTGGGACAACACTGTGTGTGTGTGTGTGTGTGTGTGTGTGAGTGTGTGAATACCTTGATCTTTTCAGATAAACCTGGCCTTAGGGTCTCTTAGAATGGAATGGTAAACTTCAAAGAATCTTTACACTGAAGAATTGAAAACAAATCTGAGTAGCATCCGTTTTCTTAGTGGCCTGTTAAGACTGTGCCTTTTCTCTCTTTAAACAGAAAATGGCATCCCTCTTATGGAGTGGTTTGAACACTCAGGTTCTGGCCAGTCCCTGGAGCCTCTTTTGTGGACTGTTTACAGTCTTACAAGGTACTGCCTTTGGAGACTGGGGCTATTGGTCACTGTCGGCTAAATTCCCCTAGGGATAGAGGACCTGGGCTCACCGAGGACTCTCCCATGCCCCCAAAGCTGCTTCCATGGCCACCATTTTAAGTCAGTGGTGAGATGCCCAGTTTTGATTTCAGACATGACACTCCAATCCCATTGTTGGGTTTGTTCTCAGCCTTTTTTTCTTAGTACAAGTAGACAGGAGGCAGCTTTGGGTACTTCACTTGTTTTTGTAGCCACTGCCCTCTGACTTTTAAGTGACCTGGGCAGTCCCCTCCCGCCTTTCTGTGAAATGGGGCTAATCCGGACCTCATGCCCTCAGGGCCTTGTCAGGGCTGGCTAATGAGGGCAGGGCAGTGGGAAAACGGATAGTCTGAACAATGACCGGTCCTGGCCACCGGCGTGAAAGGCAGGGCTCGCTCAGCTGGGTCTTTGGAGCAGGTCTGTAAAAGTCTTTGAAGAAAAAGTGCTGTAGAGGTGCTCGGCAGCAGCCCAGGGACCAGGCCCGGTGCCAGGGGTCAGGCTTGGGCCGGGGCGGCCGCGGCCTCGGGTTCAGGCCAATTTTGCAGGCACGGGTAAAGTTCACGCAGCCCGCTCGAGCCCTCGGTGCGGCGGCGGGGAAGAGGCCAGGCCAGGCCAGGATCGGAACACCAGCAGGGAAGCGGGCGCAGGCTCCGGAGAGGCGCGGGTTCCGGGCCAGGTTTTTCCCGAAGCCATCGTCGGCGGCGCTGCGGAGCGAGAGAGGCAGAAGGCCTGCCGCTGCCGCCGAGGCTCGCTCTCTCCCCTCCTCCTTTGTGAAGGGGAAAAGGAGCGAGTCCATTCCACGGCCGGCGCCCGCTCCGCACTCCACTCCGGGTTTTCCGGGCGGCCGCGACGGCGCTGGGTAAAATGGCAGTGCTGAGCCTCGTGTCGGAGTGAGGGGGACTCGGAGGAGAGTGGGGCG